TATCACATATCTGAAAGATCAGAAATTTATAAAAGGAATTACATGAGAGCGGCAGTGAAAGCTGACCTTTCAAATCAGCAAAAAAAAAAAAGGGAAATTTACATACTTAGCACACAATTTTTATGTATTTACATATCTCACTCATAAAATTTCATATTTACATACATAGCACTAGAGTAGTGGTATGTGTGTAAATATGAAAGTTTGGGTGGCAGATATGTAAACACATACGGAATTTGTGCAATCGATGTGAATTATGAAAGATCAAAATCTTACCACAAGCTTGAAGGAATCATATATTTCACATCTACTGAAAATCCCTCCCAACAAAAACAGGAGACTGCCCATCAGAAATGGAATCTGAACGCCATTCTGCAGAATCAGGAGTAGACCGCTGGACCGCTCGTAAACCTGTTTCAAATTTTGAACCGAACCCAACAGCCAAAAAATCGGTCCGGCTATCACCAATATCCAATAGTAGCCCTCTCTCTCCTGAAATCACACCAACACATTATTCATAATTCATATAAATTATTAAAAAATTTATATCATATATGTGTGTTTATATTATAAGTAAAACAACCCTATGTTAATTTATATAGAATTGATTAATCATGCACAATTAGGGCAAAAAAATCTTAAATCTCGTCTTTTTTACGATGTAAATCTGATTATTACGAGATTTTAAGAGATTTGTCAGAAGCAACACGTCCTAAATTCTAATGTGGCGAGCGAGCACCAGATATATATCGAATTTAATAAATTTTATTTAATGAAAATCAAGATTCGCTAAACACCCCATAAATATCTCAGTTTGCATGTTATTTGTAACTCATAAGTAAAACTAATGGTAAAATAAATTATATATTTTTAACTTTTCAATCAATATTTGTCTTGAATTATATCTAATTAAATAATATAATTAATTATTAAAAAAAATTTAAAAAAAATATAAAAATCACATGATATAGTAAATTATATCATAATAAGGCCCAAAAATTATGGAATTAATTTTGAGATTAAGATACTAATCATTCTAATAATTTTTTTATCTAATTTTAAGATAATTTATTATGATAAGACCTTTTTTTTACCATTTTCTCACCAAAGAAAGAAAGTTTATATGCATACCACATAATTTATGTATTTACAAATCTAACACCCAATATTTAATATTTTGTCATGAACGAAAATATGTATTTATTTTTAAAGAAACAATAATAGTGATATTTTCGATGAGACGTTAAACAATTGAGTGGTATAAATGTAAATAACTTGAAATTATGTGACATGGATGTAAATGCCCAAATAAAAGGAAAAAAAAGAAAACTTATCATACAAGAAACGCATCTCTCATAAATTTTACTACTACATAAAAATAAATGGGGCAATTACACGCGTACCACCCAAAACTTCCTATTTACAAATCAGCCCCCCACTCTCATCCATTTTTCAAAATCCCACTCAAATATAAAATTCGCCGAACCCCAGCTAGGGCTGTTAAAACGGCTCGTTGTTCGCTAACAACTCGTGTTTGACTCGTTAAGAAGCTCGAGTTCAGCTCGTTCGCTAAGTTAACAAGCCGGACACGAACAACGATCAGTAATTGTTCGTTCGTGTTCGGCTCACTTTGGCACGAAATACTACTAATCAATTTTTTGATGAGTAGTATTTTTTAAAAAAATTAATTGACTACAAGACTACATAAAAGTATTAACGAATAAAATAAAATAAAAATGATTAAATCTTGCTCGAATATTTAACATCTTATGGCTAAGTGATTAGAGTTGTCAAAAACGACTATTTGTTCGTGAACGGCTCTTGTCGGTTTGCTAAGCAAACAAGCCGAACACGAACACACTTTTTGAGCTTGCAATATAAACGAGCCGAACATGAGCTGGGACGTCTACACCCCTTACCCCAACCAATATTTTTAATTTTTCATAAATATCAGTATTTCTAATGATTTATATGCAATTATCCCCCAAACAAAAAATTGAATTACCTGAACCATAAAAAGAATGGCAGCTGCAGTAAGAGCATCGCCGATGATGTGCCACAGAGGAACAGAAACCTCCACAAAAGCCAACCGAGGGTCGAATTCAATCAACGGGAAGGAGAAATCAATGCTGATCAAATGAGCAATGAGATCATGAGCGTTGACGGTCGCGATCAGAATCAATCCAATGATGATGATGGTGAGACCAGATCTGCCGTCGATCCCAGCCGGAAAAAGCTGCACGACGAAGCCGGCGAGGAGAAGGACGGTGGCGGCGATGTAGATTCCGGCGTTGATGTATTCACAGTTGTTTCGGGTCGTGGGCGGGCCGTAAGTGCCGAAGTTTCGCGTTGTGGATAGCTTCGCCATGGATTAGGGTTACGGTTAGGGCTTGGAGAAAGGGATTTTGGCCGATTGGTTGTTGTACAGGAGAAAGGGGAGCTAAGTGGCGGAATGCATGGGCTGAAGGGGAGCTAAGTAGTTTTAAGTGGAAGGATTTTACATGTATACCACTGAACTTTTAAAAATTAGATATCTGACATCTAAATTTAATTTTTTTACATTTATGCCACCAAAATAATTCATTTCAAGTCAAAAAATGTTACTATTTTAACATTTGAAAAATAAAATAGATAAAAGTTGAAATTTAGGAGATTGATGTGTAGATATTAGTGATGAGTGGTATGTTGTACATCTTTCTTTTATTTTTTTTTGGAAAAAATTAAATGAAAATTCATAATTTATGTTTCCTAAATTTAATATATTTTTTTAATAATATATTTAATTATAAAAATTAAATTTAATATATTGTCCCTACCTATATTTTATATTAATTTAATAAAGTTAAATTTAGTAATAAGTAATTATGTTTAAATTTAATTATGCACAAACTTTCTATTGTTAAAATTTTGTCTCTAATCTACATTATTTATTTTTATCACTAAAAAAAATTACTGTTTATTTTAAATTAGAACATGAACAAATTGTTTCCTATTTTCTTTTTACACCAATGATATATATATATATATA